GGTATGTGGCAATGTGGACGATGGTTATGTTAAACTGTACACACTTGGTTATGTTAAACTGTACACACTAGGTTATGTGAAACTGTACACACAATGGTTATGTGAAACTGTACACACTAGGTTATGTTAAACTGTACACACTAGGTTATGTGAAACTGTACACACAATGGTTATGTACACTTTCTTATTGTTGTACCAAGTGTTTACCTAATAATAATAATAATTTGTCTTTAGTTATTAGAGGAAACTGTTTATATATATTTATTTAATGTTTTTTTTTATATATGAGCAGTGTTAATATACATGCTTATATTATACCCTAACTACTGAAGCACAGAAATAAAATATAAATAACTAATCACCTAAAAATTACTTTATATATAAAAATTCTTAATTTCTATATAAAGTTGTTGACCTAATAAAAATACCTCCTTATAAAACGCGCTTAAAGACTTTGTAACCGCTGAAGTACAGTACTCAAGTAAATATACATTCGAGCAACACAATTTGTTAGTATGACCCGCTACACATACAGTAGTACACGCATATTGTATCTTCAAAAGAATATTTATTGCTGATATAATGAATTTGTATTGTGTGTTTTTTTTTACTTGATCTATATAATATTTGACTATAGTTATTGTTTTGTAAGATATTAATATAGAAAATAATTATGTTTTAATATAAGTGATTCAGCTGCCAGGGTTATGAAACACCAGTCTTAGTCTTCGTTACTAAAACAACAGAGAGGTTTAAAAAATACGACGATCAGTGTTAAAACAACTTCGTTACTAAAACAACACGACAGGATAAAAAAACCAAGGATCAGCGTTACCAATAAAGGAAACAAACTACTGTATATTTTAATTACTTCAGCAAAAAAAAATAATTAAATAGATCTCTAAAATGATTTATATATTAACCATCATAATATAAATTTGTTCTTTTGCTTATATGTAATGGGTAATGGCAAACGTCATTAATTACACTATCTTTACAAATACATAAATTAACTCATTCTAAATTACAATACGTATACTGATTGTGAAAAAATATTAATTATACCCTCATATTTCATAATGTTCAGTAATTATCAATATTATTATGTTTATTGTTGGTGGTGTTATTATTATTACTATTATAATTATTTCGCACAGGTGAGATGAAAATTAATGTGGTTATTCTTTTTATGTTTAAAATAATATTTTAATGGAAAATGATGAAGAGATCAAATGTTATCAGAAAAGAAAAATAACGAGTTGTGTAAGAAAGATAATGTCTGTATCCACTGAAATTACCAATAATATATCGTAGTATTTTGTAATTAATCCACAAAAATAATCTAATCTCTCAGACAAAATTTGAATGACGTAAAAATTATAATCAATATTTGTGTAAATTATAACAAACAATATAATGAATATATATATGTTTTTAACTACAGTATAATAAGTGGCGATGTATAGAATAGGTAAGAAAATAAAAATATACACTTAAAATGTTAGTTTAACACTTACTGGTATGATAATAATAATAATAATAATAATAATAATAATAATAATAATAATAATAAAATAATATAAATAATAACACCATGAATTATTAAATACGGTACAGTATTCGTCAATAACAAATACAGGTATCATGTTATTTACAGGTTTGGAAAATTAATACAATGATCTGTTGACTATAACGAGTGTAATTGTGGCCGTAGAAACTATGAACAAGAGTGAAACCAAAAAGTGAAATAAGTGAGATTTTTTATTATTATTATTATTATTATTATTTACTTTTATATAATTATTACAATATTATTATTATTATTATTATTATTGTACATTATTATCATTATTATTATTATTTTCATTATCATTATTATTTTCATTATTATTATTACAGCTATTAATTGTCGTATTTACTCTTATCAATATTATTATTCTTGCTATTAATTATCGTGTTTATTATTATTATCATTATTATTAGTATTAAGATGAAGAATCAAGTTTAATGTACAAGATTAGAAAATAATAATCTACCATTATTTCTAACAATGAACTTTACGTCATGATGATCATTGCAGCACTAAGTATAATAATTATATATCGAAAAGATGCACAGGAATATTCGCCAGATGTTATCAATTACAGATATTGATAATAATTGATACAACCAGAAGCCGCTTCATACACCTGCCGACTCCGATAATATATGCAAATGTTTCTATATATCTCAACCTCTCAGTTAGGGCTACTTTAGCTAAAGGCATTGTTTACATATGGCAACTGAAAGTTTATTTAACTGCGTAAGTTACAGTTTTTCATAATCGTACTGGTATTTGTAGTTTATGTAGGTAAATTACAGCACATAACATAGTGTGATATAATGGGCTTAATCCTCGTAAGCAAGGTGTGTGTGGTCGTCATGTGTATTTGTGTGCGTGTGTTTGTATGACCGCTAGAGAAGAGCCAAACTACTGGTGGGGGCAGAGGGCGGGACAAACCAGGTCCTGGCCCACCTCCTCTTCTTATCTCTACGTAAACGGCTACCGTCCTGTAATGTTGATAAGGTGATAAGGTCGTGTAAAAAGATGGAAACTGACACCACTTAGGCTAGAGTATATATATATATATATATATATATATATATATATATATATATATATATATATATATATATATATATATATATATATATATATATATATATATATTACACACGTGTGTGTGTGTGTAAACAATAAATATGATTGAGAAGGCGAACCTTTTTATCTTCAGAACGAACCAATTACACCCTCCCGCTGTTCAGCCCGACACTTGTAGCGAGAGGGGATGCAGTCATCATACAAGACAATTTCCGCTTAATCAAATCCGCGTCCGCAGTAGATAATTGTAATTGAGTCAACTTGACAAGATTCTACACACACACAGTCTCGTGTCGCCCACCCCTCTTCCTTCCCTCTGGCTATATGACCAACATCAACTGGGAATGTACCGCCAAGAATTCTACAAAGGTCACACTTGAAAGAATAAGTTCTTTATGCTGGAGCAACATGAAGTAGTTGTACGAGTGTTGGAGAGACGACACGCGGCAAAGAAAAAGAAACATATATCCTTGACTATGTGTAATAATGGTAATGAACCATCCAGCAGACGAACCCCGCACACTAGACGCATAAGGAGTGAGAGACAAGTTCTTTATAATTAGTACAGAAGAAAGGAGGCGCCAGGTTCTGTACATCAAGGCGCAGCAGGAGCGAGAATTCAGTAGTGTCGGCAAGCGCAGCGGGATAACTACAAAGCTTCTGCCGATGTAATAGACTTGTAAAGCAGCAGATCTTCATCTCCTTCAATTCGGCGGCGTCCATCCTTCTCACCATGCAACGGCCCTCTATCCCTCACAACACTGCATCCACTACCACTATCTCCCTGACGTCCCCATCCCTTACAAACATTATCATCAACGCCAACAACTAATGAACAACACCAATAATCTAATACCCAATCTCAAGTCTTCAATACGGATACTCTCGATGCTCATGTCAAACTTGTACACCGTTAAATTTTGAAATGGAACATCTTATAGACCAATTTCCCAAGCAAACGCTGTACCGACTACCTGACCACACATAAAAAAAATATAATGTAGTGAATTTGTGCCGGAGATGAGCTTCGTGTGTTTTCATGAGTGAGCGAGGGACGTGCCCTTACCCTCGCCGCCCGCCCACCCAGACAGTGGGTGGGGCGGGCGGCACGTCTGTACAGCGGCGATGGGCGGTGCGGGGGCGCGTAAATTTTCCATCGTAGGAAATATTAGGGTATAATCTAATTCATTATTTCCGGGAGGTGGGCGTTATGGCGGAGCAATTTCCGATGTTTGTCTCTTTTGTGCCGACTGGCAATTGTGTTGAGCAAAGTCCTCATACAATTATATGTCTACTTAAAGGAAGCGAATCACATATACATTTTTATACATATAGCTAAAAATCCCTCTCCTGTAACATACACATTTTAATCACATTGAGAATAAAAACAGGTTATGAAGATAAATAAATCGATACACGTAAGAGTAGAACATAACCCGTGACTGAGTAATTGAATTTTAAAGACAAGATAACTTTTACCTGTTGTATAGGTGCGAGTTTTTTTCACCGGTTGGCAAAAAACAAACAAGTTCAAACTTGTTAAGGAATTTTGTCTACCAGAGTCGTGTAATTACTTGTTGACACTGACCACACAGGTGACTATGAGGTCACGGGTTATAATATATTAGTGAACAATGAATGATATGATCCCTCAGCGCTGATAGACATTTTAACACCACTCAGGCGGTCTCAAACCCCTTCACAAGCACTCCCTATGAGACAACACTATACTACTCAGTAAATCACTATGATGGAGACTATGCCGATGATGTACTAATATTTATCAAACACTAATGGGAAAAATCGGTAAATAAATTTATAACTTTGTCTACTAATAGATTTTGGGGGAATTCTCGCTTTAAAAGTTTTATTGGGGTTTTGGTAGAGCAGACTCCCCACATGACTCCATGGTGTTATATTATCTCTCTATAAGCTACGGCATTTATGACAACAAGGGGACAAGACACCAACGAATATTGATAATTTTTACCAGTACTTCAGGTATTTTAAATAACGACAAGAATTGAAAATACAACACACGTTTTCATGCATGTAATTGTTGTAATAGAAATAAAGGAATTGTCAAACATTTTTAAATCAGAGATGATGTACCGTGTAGGAGGTGTTTTAACCGGTACTGTGACGAATTATAGTACAAAAGAAAGTTGACCAGGCAGGCGAAGGGTTGCCAGAGCTCCTTAACTTGCCGTGGTTACCCACTACCCTTCGCCCCCGGCAGTAGGCTACCTCCTTCCTAACTTGCTCGCTCTAACAAACTCGTGAATATATTGGTCTACCTGCCTCAGGGAGCCGACGGACTACCTTAACTTGAGACAGTACCGTGTTTGGCGGGACTCACCTAGAGGGGGAAGGCCGGGGGAGGTGGCGTGTCGCAGCCCAGATGCCGCCGCTGCTGCCGCCGCCGCCGCCGACCCTCGGGACATGATAGCCGCAATAGAGAAGTCGGTGGCGCGCGGCTTACACCCAGACATGGCTTCTTCGAGACCTCCCGCAAGCATCACTGACGCAGGAAGCACGCCCGAACACGCCCACAAGGTCCTCGCGTGCCCGCCGACGCCCACAGATGGGCCCCGTGCAGGTGGTGTCCGGGGTGCTGCAGGGCAGATGGTCGCTGCTCTTGCTTCAGTCGTCAGCCTCTCCCAGCTGACCCTCGCATATGAGGGGCTGATGGCTTTGGTGTCAGCTCTCTTCACCCCTCAAGCGGCAGGCCGTAGACTTTTTTTTCCGCACGAGAAGTAGATTGTTTATGCGAGGGCAAATTTCCTGTATTGCACCTGCGCAGTCTAGCGTATCCAGTCAAAAATGTAAGTTATTCGTCTGCTTCTGGCGCATTGGTTTGTGAGAACTTGGGCTCCTTCGCTACACTGAGGGATACGATGTTAAGTCACAACTACTAGATTGGTACATCACTGGCACCTCATATTCCACTAATTAGCTGCCAACAACTCAGGTTGAAGTGTCCACCCGCTGTACAGAGTGATGACCAACTGATGAAGAGTCAAGACTATGAGGAGGTGTCGCTGGCTGGGGGCGGAGTCCTGCACGCTCCGCCCTCCTCCATAGTTGCCGACAGTCACTTGCTGGACAGGTTACTTATAAAACATTATGTTTCTTAGTACAAACAGTTTAACAATCCCATCATAAGCATTTATATCTTATTAACTTTATGAGAAAATGGATAACAGACAAAATAATAACTTATATATAAACAATGACTTACCTTTGTTATTATAAGTCAATGTCAAGTTGAACAAACAATCAACAGTTTAGCCCCAACCAATAAGATTTCTTCTCACATAGAACGTCAAGTGAACGATGGACCAATGAGAGCTCGAGAACCTTTAGCGGGAGGAGTCGTAAGAATGATGAGCTCCAAGTTCACTATTATTTTCCGCTCCACGTGATAACATATTTATTCTCCATCTCATTATTAATAATCATACACCTCACAATAAAATACAAGTCATACTGTATCAGAGGTCTCAGACAGCCGATCAAGAGAGTGTAATAATTCAGGGATAAACCCCGAGGAAATGAGAAATAAAGAGGGAATAAGGCAACTCGGGTGATAAGTGAAAAGCCCTCACAAGTCGTCGGTGGTAGAGGGGCTAAGAGGGGTCGTCCACACACATGATCTGGGACCTGGCGCGCCCACACATATTCTCACTCAACTTCCCCTCCTTCCCCTTCCCCCCCCACACATACACACACGCCTTGCTTTTTTTTTTTTTACCCTTTTACGTCGACACTGCTAAATAATCCTAAATCACGTAAAGAATATTGAGAGTGATATATGACTTTTGGGTTTGATAAGTATTTTCTTGGTTTATTGGCATTTATTGTCAGGAATATTGAACACTGGAGAACTTTTGTTAGTATGTTGGATATTTGTACCATGGAACAAGAGTAAAGCTTTTGTACTGTATCAACTCTTAACTGCATAACTAATGGTCGTTTTGGTATTTTGTTGGTATATTTTAGTCTTTCAAGTATATTAGATCAATGGCTTTTGTTGAATTATTATTATTATTATTATTATTATTATTATTATTATTATTATTATTATTATTATTATTATTATTATTATTATTATTATTATTATTATTATTATTATTATTATTATAGATTTTCTACATAAGATAACAATATCACAGTTACAAGTTATTATAATTTTGTGAGGGATGAACCTTTCCATAAAACATTAATAAAAAAAATTTCAATGTAAAACTGTAACAATTCCCCATACTATAGATAATAACTAGGTAATATTATTTTATTTTATAACTGAGAACCACTAATAATTGTCTAAATTATCTTTAAAATAATCAGTATGAACTTACATCAAATAATTCATATAATTTTGTAAGAATTATTGTCTATCATTCTCACACGATATAATTAGTCATTACACGTGAATAATTAATTACCCTCATAGTGTTATTACTAATTACGTTTAGGTATCATCATCGTCAACAATAAGAAGTATCATACCTTTAATATAATGTATATAGCGGTGTAATTAAGCTCCTGGAGGTGTTCGGGTCCCAGATAAACAGGTAAAAATTAATGATATTTTTTTACGGTTATTAATTAATTAAACTCTACTTTGATTTTATTTATTTTATTGATCTATTTACATTATTTTATTATTCTAAAGATGTGGATAATAAGATAAATATTAACTATTAATATTATAGTTTCTGGACTTTATTTTGTAAACTAAAGTTCATAAGTTATTTTTATTTATCGTTGATATTAAGGACAGGATTTATTACGGCTTTTGTTTAATGTTTTTTTTGTTTTTTATTTGAGGAAGTTTTCAGTTTTTGTTTCATGTTACTTTCGTCGACTTCCTTACATTCTGTACTGGCTCACAATCACATTAATAATTACATTCACAATCATCATTATCCTCATTATGTATAATCTATAAGCCACACTATAATCCATCATCACCATATGCTGTTTAGTCACCATTATCACCAACCATGCTGTCACTGAACATATCACCACCACATATTAGTGATTACAATTCATTTTCACCTCTAGGCTCACCATCACGAACACAGCTTCACTCTTGACCGAGATATCTACTGAAGGAGGCGGATCATGGTGACAGTATACCTTCGGGAATCACATACAAAAACATACCACACTATGACTCTAATCATAGCACTAACCAATCCTCGCTAACCTAACCTAACCAAACCTAATCCCTCCAAGTAACGTTTGAATATTTAATCACCAGTTTGAAATAAGAAACAGGGGGGGGGGGGTTGATCTTCATGTCATCTCATTAGAAAAAATAAAAAGCTATTATTATATTGAAAATGATGAAAAATAGCAGCCACATGAATCATGATTTGATATCTTGATTAGAGAGATTTGTTGAACACTACTTAACAGACCCGTTGAAACACTTGTATATGTATCGATGTACATTTCCGCCTCTCACATTTGCATAATAACTAACAAAGTAGAAATGAATGATATGTAAATTTTCGAAATGAGTCGTTAAAACTGACTTAAGTTTCCCGTAATGATAATATCTGGTGACTTGATGAATAAAATATGAAGATAACATTCATATATTAATGTTAGTACAGTAATACAACCTTGTGTGGAGGGGGGGGGGGCAGGGGGGCAGTGTTGTAGATGCAGCAGTTTAAAATATATATCAGTTAATAACAATGTTGAAATTTAATAACAGACATATTATGTTTATCTATGCAATATTGTGACGCCATAACAACAATAAAAGAAATAAGAATTTAAATATATTCTCGTATTTTTATAAACATTGTGTACAGAGCAGTGGTAGTCAAAAATGGCAAAAGGTAATAACAAAATTAACACTCTTTTTATCAATCACTATATCTGTGTTGTATTCCTTAAGACGTGTAGAACCTGGGACGTCGCTCTTAAGAGTATATATAATTTCTGGAGTACGAGAAAAGGTTTATTCTTTAAAGTAAAATTTGCACTTGGATCTGTAAAACAATTCAGCATCGCTTCTTGGTGTGTGTGAGTGTGTGTGTGTGTGTGTGTGTGTGTGTGTGTGTGTGTGTGTGTGTGTGTGTGTGTGTGTGTGTGTGTGTGTGTGTGTGTGTGTGTGTGTGTGTGTGTGTGTGTGTGTGTGTGTGTGTGTGTGTGTGTATTTAATTGTTATGCTATAGAGAATAATGATGTAGATTTGCTTATAAAATACGTTTAGTGATGATATTGACATTAATGAGAGAAAATAAATAGCAGCGAGGAATATGTCTAGAAATAAGTTATGTTAGTATCTGGTTAGTTAAGTTAGCATGTTGTTAGCTTAGTTAGTACCTGGAAAGTTATTCTGAGTACACGTCTGGTAACTTGACAAGCTTATATCCGGAGGAGGGAAGGTAAAGAGGGAGTGTGGAGGGTGAGAGTGAGTAGTATGGAGGCGAAGAGAGAGTGAGGAGAAAGTGTAGAAGGAGTATGTATAGAGGTGAGAGTCTGGAGAGAGAGAGAGAGAGAGAGAGAGAGAGAGAGAGATAATGTACGTATAAACAACAACAACCAATACAAAACTAAAATAAAAAAAAATCAGAATAAATAAAAGTAAATAAAACAAGGAAATAAATAAAGGAAGGATGAACAAAATAACAAAACATAATAACAATAAGTTGAGTAATAATTGACGATGGAATTATTCAAGTCAGCGTGGAACAAGTCATTTACATAAGTCAATACGCGTGTTGGAATGTCAAATGGCAGAACTATGCGCTCACAGGAAAACCATTCGACGAACATAATAAAAAAAATAATAATAAAATGATGATAATGATATATGATTCTTAAGTACTATTGTAAAACGCTCTAGAAGTTTGTAGTTGAGGAAGAAGAATAAAAAAACGCCTTGGATCACTTGAAGATTTTAGACACTTCAGATTATTTCACTTAGAGATTAACCTCCCTAACGCTATTTAGGTTAGGTTAGGTTAAGGTTATGTTAGGTTATGTTAGGTTAGGTTAAGGTTAGGTTAGGTTATGTTAGGTTATGTTAAGGTTAGGTTAGGTTAGGTTAGGTTAGGTTAGGTTAGGTTAGGTTAGGTTGGCATTTGGTTGGTTAATCTTCAGGTAACACTTGGGAACGATTATCACAACAATCAGTTCTTCACTAACAACACCTCACTCCTCTTCCTCCTTTCTCTCTTACTATATTTCCTCCCCAACCATAGAACTGTGCTCCCCCCTCCCCCCTCCTCCCTTCTTCCCTCTCCCTCTCTTCTCCCTGCTTCTTCCGGCGTCCCCCTCCCCCACCCCCTCTCTCCCTCCTTCTCTCTCCATGCCTGCTCCTATCTCCCGCCTCACCTACCGAGAACTTCCTTTTGTCCAACATACATGTCATTTGTCCTGGTGGGGGGAGGGTGACGGGGAGGGAAGGGGTCCGAGAGGAGTTTCAGGCCACCCAAGGGGCAGACACCCACACTGTTGGTCCTACACGAGACCTCACACACACACACACACACACTACTTACACGCCCGCGGAGATACACACACACAGGCACACACACATTTTACCAATCTGTTCTTAGAGTAAACTGTATGTCGTGCGTGAAGAGTTGTATCCACCTAATCTAGAATCACTTTACGTAATTATAACATTTAAACATCACAAATAATGAAAAAGACACGTTTTCAGAGTCAGAGTATACTTCAATTACAATGACTCTTCTCAATAAGAATATTATGTTTATTTATATAACTCTTGGATTGTTTTAAAACTCTTCGTACTTTTACCATTAAGGTTTAACACGAACGTTTGTCTTACTAGTTTTTAATTTCAACTTCTATACGAAACATGACACACCTTTCAATTATATCAACATTCCTCTGGCTATATTATTATTTCTTGAGGACTTATCGTTAAAAAAAAAATGAAAAAATGCAAAATAGACAAACCTTAAGATCAAGTCACATCGCGAACCAACAGCAACAATCAGC